ATTAGGGACGGCTAGCGCAGATAGCCCTCGTGTAGCTTTGCGCGAAATTCGTAAAACAAACAAACTTCTCGTTTCTCCCTTTTTTTTTTCAACACGAGTTCACAAAACAAAGGACGGACAAGTCAAAGACAACAAATGAACCCAGGCGTAAACTCTTTATTTTTCCTCTTTTCACCAACGCGACATTCCATTATTCTACACCACTTAAGATAGTCACGAACTTTCTGGAAGTACTTAAATTCTGATAAACTCCTTATCACCAATACATAAAAAAGATAAGTAAGTATATGACCGACTATCGTGATTTATGTATGTGTTTCTTATGTTCAAAATAATACATCTCTGACACACGAAAAACAAAACACACCTAATGATTAATGTTTAATTGTCCTAAAGCGCTGGTCCAAAATCCACTCATATTGTTTGTGTGTGTGTGTCTGTGTTTTACTTATAGCAAAGCCACATCGGGCTATCTACTGTGCCCACCAAGGGGAATCGAACCACTGATTTTAGCGTTGTAAATCCGCAGACTTACCGCTGTCCCAGCGGAGGACTCACCCATATTAGTTAAAAACGTGACCCTTAGGGAATAAAGGGGTGAATGAACTAGCTACATTCCCCTGGGAAGGGACGGGTTAGCCCCATGGTAGGATTCTGGATGTTGGATCTGATAATCTGGGTTTGAATCTATACTGCAAAAATATTCCCCTTACTTTAAGCGTGGTTATATTATAAGTGTGACGGCCAATCCCTTAGTGTGGATTATAAGTGATAGGGCGCTGCCTTTTCTCTGGCTAGTAGTTCAAAATTAGGGACGACAGCAGATAACCTTAGTAGCTTTGCCACAAATACAAAAGTATAGATATCTGTTGAAAAATGTAGAAGTTATTCGTGTTTTCCCTCTATATTCTGTTTCTGATCTTAATACTTAAATAGATTACTTTTAATATTTAAAACTATAATCTGGAAACTATAGTCAAATAACCACAGTTTGGTCATTAGACACAAATATTTGTTAGACCAACAAACACTATCACGAGGATTGTTATAACTACATAAACTAGTACTATTAAGGCAGTGGCATAGCCAGGTTTTCCAATCAGGGGATCAGAAAATTTTAAGGGGGGCAATAAATTAAAAAGTTGAAATTGATCTACATTTTAAATAAAATGGTCATTAAAACAAATCAAATGTAATGGTGTTTATAGAACTTTTTATTTGTATTAAATGATATAAAACGAGTTTAAAATATATAAAAGCTGAAAGATAATATGTAATCAATATGCCTAGATTTTTGAGGGGGCCTAGCCCCCTTGTTACGCCTCTGTATTAAGGCTTTTCGGACTAGTACTATTAAGGCTACTGTTAAGACTATTTTTACTAGTACTATTAGGATATTGTTAAGGCTATGTTTACCAGTACTATTAGGGTATTGTTAAGGACTATTTTTACCAGTACTATTAGGGTATTGTTAAGGACCTATGTTTTACCAGTACTATTAGGGTATTGTTAGGCCTATTTTTACCAGTACTATTAGGGTATTGTTAAGGCTATGTTTTCCAGTTTTAAATATTTTCTGTGTAGAGAATGCAAACTCAGAGTCGATTGAAACGCAAAATATATTATTTATTTTAGTCACGAACAATCAGAGACGATTCAGTCCTCGTAATTTTACGCATGTTAAACTTCCTACATTGTCTCAGAGCCAACTCCTCTTATCATTTAACTTTTTTGCAACCCTACTGTTTATCTGATGGTGAGAGAAAAAAAAGTGCTTTCCAAGCAAGTTACTAAGGGGTAAACCCTTTAGTTCCGTTGGAAGAGTGTGCTAACGTTTCCGACTCTTCGAGAAAGTCACATATTGGATTGCGATTTACCAAGTTCAATTTCAAGACACCCATAACTCTGGATTACTAAATTAAAAAAACACAAGCTCTATGTGAACGAACTACACATAATCTATCACATAAGATACGAGTTCAATCCCTGCTTTAACGAACTACAGTTTGGTCACTACGGTTGAGTTTTCTTGCACCTGGATCACACGGGAAATATTCATTGTGACCATCCATATCAGAGGCATTGTTCATGTTCACATTATCTCTCACGTGCTCAGTACCTGGATGAACAATGCTATCATCCTTGTAATTGACATCTGTGAGAATGTTTTTGTTTTTTTTTGAAATGTTGGCCTTCATCATAAGATATCGTGTATTACACTTGAAACTCTCTCTCTATATATATTATAAAGTATTTATATTATATTTGTTCTAGGATACATTGCTTGTGATCATGCCATTCATTCTTGTCAGGTCCCTAGTTCTTTTCTTTTATGATTTAGTAAAATTATTTTGACTATTTACACACGTCATTTAAACCATACCGACAGCTGAAAACGTAGTTATTTTAAAAACGCTTATTATGAAGAGTGTGCCACTTCGCCGTGCCAGTAATGTCGAATATCAAAGCTACGATGTCGTGCTTATTGTGAAACGACGATTCGTTTGGAAAGTTATGTAAAAAAAAGTAATATATATATATATATATTTAATAAGAAGGAAAACTTTTGGAAATCTGGAGCTTTATTGGAGTTATGGGAAGTCGGTACCAGTTATTTATTCAAACGTAGCAAGATTTGTGTTTAAGAGTGTACGGGAAGGTTATAACGTCGTTAGGAGTTCCAAAGTCTATAGGGCGAATAGCATAGGACACGGACAATATACTTTAGGTGCACGTACACGTTGTCACGGTAAGTAAATTTCGCTAGTTTCTAAAAATGACACAAGGAGCGCCATTGTATAATACTGCTTACCATCACTTTCAATTACCGCAATCATCCTGACAATGGTATTTCAATATTGCAAGGGCGTAATATCTCCCTTAGAATCGCCCGAATCTCTGTCACAGTGGCGTCCTGTTGCGGACAGGTTGCTGGGTCGTGGCGATAAAAAAATCTCCTTAAACAGTAGTCAGCAAACCTTGGGTCAAAGGAGCGTGTCAACAATTTAGACACAGTAAAAATAAAGGTGATAAAATTGAATATTTTTTTTTGTTTTAGCGCCCCTGCGTGCTACTTATAGAAACCAGCAGAATAAATTCCCTTGATTTGCAGTACTCCACCCCTTTTTAGGTTTCGAAAAATACAAAATTAAAGAGTAATAATAATTCACACAGGACGTTAACACAACTTAAATATGGAGGAAAACGAATACGAAGTAATACGCTCAATTTAATAATAATAATAATAAATGTGAAAGTTTGAGTCCCCCAGCGGTAAGTTCACGGATTTACAACTCTAAGATCAGGGGGTTCGATTCCCCCTGGTAGACAGATCGCAGGTAGATTATTGTGTAACTTGGAACTAAATCAAACAGATAAATCAGGGTTTTCAACTCCTTTTTTTCCATCAATAATATTATGTTAAAAAGTCCTTGTTTGTTTGGTTTGAATTTCGCGCAAAGCTACACGAAGGCCATCTGCGCTAGCCGTCCCTAATTCGGCAGTGAAAGACTAGGGGGAAGGCAGCTAGTCATTACCTCCCACCGCCAACTCTTTTACCAACGAATAGTGGGATTGATCTTCACATTATAGCGCAGTCACGGCTGAAAGGGCGAGATGTTTGGTAGGACGGGGGATTCGAATCCGCGACCCTCAGATTGCGAGTCAAGTGCCCTAACCATCTGGCCATGCTGGGCCTAAAGTCCTTGTTATTGCAGATTAAGTCGGTCGTTTTAATATACGGCAGCTTCAAAATGAACTAGTAAACAAAACATAAAATGGTTCAGGAAAAGGGATCAGTTCCCCGTAGCTACAACTTCAGAGTAGGCGTGAGATCTGTATACATGACTATCATTATATCATCTATTCTGCTAAATGGTTCAGGAAAACGGATCAGTTCCCCACAGCTACAACTTCAGAGTAGGC